TATCACTTATCCTAGCATAACAGAAGGCTTACATGGAAGAAAAATTGGGTTCCTACTTCTAAAAATCTTCATCCCTTCCCAGTCTCATATTTTCATTCAGCCTGAGAACATGCTCAAGAGACATCCACATTTACTGCAATGATTCAGAACTGGTTGTAAGCATCCAGATTACAAATGCTTAACATGTTCTCTGACTTTATATTAAGTTGTGCCACATAGCCCTAGCATCCCTCCTGGAGTTCTTTGCTGTGAAAAAACCAAAGAATCTAGCATTTAATAATCAAACCTAAACCCAGGAAAATAGGAATGCACATTACTTTCCATTGCTCAACACAAGTAAATTAAAAAAGCAAACTGCCAAAGCTAATTAGTATGATCTAAGAATGCACAATATTTGTGAGTTTGCTTTCCATCACAAACCAGCAACTTACTTGCCTTTCATTTATCATGGTCCATTGGCAGTTGATTGCAAAACCATATGTTGACAGTTGTTCGACACTTGACAGAGGCAAGGGGTTTTATTGTTTTGTTTTAAAGTAGTATCTACAGCTAACCACGTGAAACTACAAAACCCCAGTGTACTGCATTGACAGAGAAGCAAGGAGGCTAATGATAACTTGCATCATTTCCCAGTGCACCAGTTCCAAAATACACAAGGCCCATTAGCACTCAGATTTAAGATAGCTGGAGTCGAAGTACAGTAGGCTATTACTTCAATGCTTAGGTACTTTGAGGTATCTTGGTAGAATAACCATTTACTTTACTTCCATTGCATCTGACCAACAAATATAACATAACAAGTAAACCTAGGCTTTGATTCTAGCTTTCATAAATAGTCTGCAGGAAGCTTGCCAATCATTTACATTACAAAAAACTTGAAGAGATTACATATTAGAAAATGAGCATTTAAGTAAATGGGAACAGATTTGTGACATCAATTGGGACCCAAAGCAAGTTTCACTGTAGACTTTCACAGTGTCTTACAAGCCCTAGTCTTCACAAAACTAAGCCTATTCAGAGTAAAAATCTTGTGAGCCCTTTCTTTTTAATAGTATTTTAGTCACGCTTGGACATTTTCAAACATTAATAAACAGTTTCAGACACATTAAAACAGGCTTTGGGACTACTTCTCTCAATGCAGGAAGCCAGGCTCTGGGCATCAGATGTTTTGAATTGCTTGTGGCTTTGGAACTGGAAGGGCCAAACCAGCCAGCCCAGATACTTCTAGGAAGAACTAAGAAACCACCAAGATGCTGTCTAGATTAGTGACCCAGCCAACTCCAACGGGGTAGGACAGAGGCAGAACAAACCACCCACCCAAGACCTTTTTCCAGATTTCCCATACTGTCTTACACAGGGTTTATCTCACACATACACCAGGTTGCTGGAATACAGACTTGATGACACCACTATTAGCTCTCTCCTTGCCTAGGCAGAACTCTTATGACTAACTTGAATAATCAATCTGAAGCATTCATTCTGGAAGCCCTGCAAGATATCTAAGGTGAGAGGAAAGAAGCCAATGAGATGTCCAAAGCACAGTGGTTTAGATTTTGTGCCCGCTACTACTGTAACCAGTCACCTGAATAAACTCAGGCCACCAAAGGAATAATCACCAGGCTGAGCTGATCCCTTTTCACCCTTCAAAGGAGCCTCTCAAATGCTCAGAAACTGGATTGGCCAGTTTCTGCACATACTTTACAGGTTAGCAACGAAGAAAAACCTTCATTGGATTTCAGAATGAATCCAGATCACTAGAACAAGGAAGAGTGTTATCTAAGCATGGTACTGCAGCAGGACCAGTTAAAATGCATTACAGCAACACCAGTACTGTTCTCCTGCAATACCCAGTGAGACATTTTTCTACATGTACATTCTGCTTTCATTTTCTTAACTGAGTTACTAACAGCTTTGATCAGATCCTGGAAAATCTGCTAGGCTTTGCATTAAAGCCTATGAAACACTTCCATGAGGATCTTCAGCAAGGAGGCATTCTCTATTGTTCTGCCTCCAAACCCAGTTTCTCCTTTTTTAACCACCTTTGAGCTGAAACAGCTTTCTCTACAAAGACTGAAACTGCAGGTAAATAAGCATCACTGACCAATACAGGAGAGACTAATAAAATGCAAAGAAACAATGTTCAATAACATGTGGGATGCAGATGAAAATGGAAAACACTACATTGAAATGGAATTTATTTTTTCAAATCCTTCAAGAACCTCCGCTCCTCCCAGAAAAATTCTTAATGGTTTCTTAACCCAGAAGTCCTCCCACTCCAGCACTGTGGATGGAAAAGCATTTGGAAGAACTCCAAAATCCACAGCAGTTGCTTCAATTAAAACAGTGCACACAGCCACAAAAATACTACTTCTCTGTTGAGTTGAAAGCACAGGGTTAAAGCAGCCCAGGTAAGCATTCAAATGCTGAAATTTGTCACTTTAGGAAATAATTTACACAGTCTGTTTACCAAGACAGAGCACTGGAGAAGAGGCACAAAGCTATGCTAGGCTTGCCAGAGCAGTGAAAGTAACTGAAATCCTTTAACACAGATCACATCTAACAAATGGACTAGCATTTCCACTCAGTAGAATTTTTGTTATTGTCCCCTTTGAGACTGCAATATTTTAGCACAAGATAGGCCCAAGCCAAAAGAGAAACTTTTCTACAAGCATGTCTGATTTAGTCTTTTGTAATGCCATGTGTCAAAGTTGTTTACACTTTTCCATAGTATCAAAATACTCAGCTGAAGATTGTAAGTTAGAGCATGCCTAAAAATAGTTACTGTAATGAGACTACTCACTGCCTTCAAGAGAACTGAACTATCCTACCTTTTCTAGCAAGCAAAGATAAGATGCACTTGATAGGTTAACCACAACTCTATGGACAGATTTCTTGCTATATTTCAGAGACTGCTTAAGTCTTCTTCATCTACCTAGATAAACTACGCTATGCAATAACATCTGTCTTTCTACCTAGTAACCCTCCAATATGGAAAAGCTTCATTTGTCTTCAGCTGTTAAACCTGACTGAGAATTTCATTAGTGACCTGCTGTAACTCAACTTTCTGATTCAATATTTTAAAATAGAAGCACACCATTTCATAGCACTTGAGATGGCCCTCATTCCCATTTTGAGGATCCACGGCACAGCCCGGTTCAGGAACCAAATCAATCACGACAATATATCACACAGTCTCCACAAAGAACTACAATAAACTTGCCACCAGATATAAATTTTCTATTTATAGGTACTATGAACCAGCTGTGGGATAAAACCATTTACCAATTTTAAGAACAAGTTTGAAAAGTAAAAATTTTACTTTATTGGCTCAATACATGACAAACAGGTCCATTAGAGGTCTCACAACAGTTATCAACAACATCCCTCAAAGCCTTTTGTTTTAAGCTGTATCACTGGCAATAGATGAAGACCTATTCCAGTGTTACTTACATTAACATCAATAGAGCGACTTGTCCCATTTGCCTTTCCCAGATATGAAGCGCAGCATTACATTTGGCTGCAATATCCCCATTTCTCCAACATTTAACTCTAGCTCCTTTACCAAGACTTAAACTCAGCCTGCTCCTCACCTACCCATTTAAAACCAGAAAACCAAGCTGTGTGTCTGTACAGTGGAATCAGTCAGCATTTTCCTTAGTAAAAAGGAGAAATACTAAAAATATATAGAAGAGTATTTGAGGAAGTATTGTTTGGTTTTGTAGGCAGCTTCAAAACAGCTTTTTCTACAAAGAATCAACAAATGTGGATTAAGTAGTCTACTTCTATACAACAGATTTTTTTCCAAAACTACACAAACTAGTAGACTGAGGCCGAAAGGACTGGCTAAGGGTAAGTAGCAAGCAGTCAGTTTTCATAGTGGAGGAGGCTACCATAAATACCTGTAGTATCTGTTATCAGTGTTGAACATAACAAAGTTCTTTACGCTAGCAATGCAACAGTGCCAAGATTATAAAGTTATTCAAGAAGTCAAAAAGCAAGTCTGATTACTAAGACCAGAACAGTCTTGCAATACTGAAATTTCATCTACTGTTTCACTGCCCATTTGTTATCTGTGCATGCACTGTGCTAACCAGAGGGGAAAACCCTGAATAAGGACATGCAATTATGCACACCAACCTAGTTATTACTGCTGATGAAAGATACTGAAGTCATAGTCATTACTGCACTGAGAACAAGGCAGCAGTCAAGAGATCTTAGAACAGAGCCAATCTTAGAAAGGATCAGGAACAAACAGAAAATATTCTGCTGTTGTTACGAGCCATGCTATGTCCACTATGTGGCTAGTAAGAGTGGCAACAAGCAGCCCATCTGAGAAAGGATATTTGTGAACCAGAAGCAACAATAAAGGGCAATGAGGATGAGAACGATCTACAATAGCTTTGATTCCAAAGAAGTACAAACAAAAAAGCATCGCTGGGAGCACAGTACTCAAGGCAAGTTATGAGTTAATGCCATACCCAAAGCTAAAAGCCACCTTAAATCTTACAGCAGACCAGATATCTCAAAATTATAAGCTTGTTAGAAGTGGACAGAGCTATATTTGAGATTTGATACTGATTTGAGATACACATAAGTACTGGTGTTCACATTGCTCTTCGCTCTTTACCTAAAGTGCACGTGGTTAGTAATCCTTTAATCATGTCTAATTTTTATTGCTGCAAGTAGGTTTGTTCCTGTGTGCTACAAACAACTGCAGAGTTAGACAATACATACACAGAAGGGGAAATTGTCACTTAGCTCTTCAAGTACTTCAAGCCTTTGAGTATTTTAGAATACATCTGAAGGGTACCAGTGGCTTTTTTAATAATAAAACCATACAATTGCTGCACACAAAGATGTTCAAAGTACCTGTCTAGGCATAACATATGGCACTAATCTTTAACTAGCTCTACCCAAACTAGACCAGTACAGGTTCATTAAAATCTAGCCAAACCAGAAGAATCGTACTCTAAGGAAAATTAAAAATCAAGTACACAAAGTCAGTGTAAACATGTTCTTTAATATCACTGAAGATAAATTCAGAAATCCAAGTCTTAGGTGGGTTTCAAATAAATAATCATTTGGAGTAAGTGTTTGCATATAAAGGGAGCTCTCAAAGCAGCAGTGCACAGTTTATAATTCCTCCCTGCTAACACATCCCTAACAAGAGAATGTACAGTAGGTAGTGCACACTGGAAAAAACAATCACAACATACAGCACACTTGCCATCTTTGATGAAACCACTGAATAGGATGTTGAAAAGGGGAGAGAAGCAAATGAAGTCATGCACTGCCCTTTAAAGCACCACTATTTTCCCATAACTTTTTTTACCAGCATAATACAAATAAGAAGCCTGGGAACACAAGTAATCTTTCATGCTTGCACTCTCAAAGATTAACACAGCAGTGCTGATACAGAAAACATACTCCTCAAACTGACATTGCAGCATTACATATCATCCCCATCCCAACTGGTCTCTACTCAGGGACACATACTCTAATTTTTAAATTCCTCTCCAGTAACTGCAGAGGTAATCCAGAAAGCTTAAAGAAAGTTAAGAGTTGTTGTTTGTCGATCCTGGCCCAGTGTACTGAAAAGAACCAAGACATGACAGGCCTCAAGAAGGTGTATGGTTACCCAGCAAAATATCTGGTGGGCTACATCACTCAAAGCCTTCCAAAAGTAAAAATTCTTCCTCAAAGTGAAGATTTGCCTTTCTTAAATACTCCAATTAGTCTGTTGTAGAAATATGCCCAATGTGAAAATTCTCACATCAGAACAAGATATAACAATCCAGAAAGACCAACAAGAAAAAAGATCAGGTATAAATATGCCACAAATACTTCCAGAAGAATTTTCTTTTTTAAGTTACTGTTTCATCAAAATATTTTCCTGCAGATACAGGTAGGGTAGTCTTCCACTCTGTACTTTAGTCCAACATCCAATTTATCTGAGAGTAGCACTGCAGTACTCCTCATAGAAGCACATAACCTACTAGCATAAATCCCTCAACACAGCTAACCTGCTTCATCACTTTCTTCCCCGTTTCTAACATACTTGAAAGAAGTTCTGCCCCTCTGCTGTGAGTCAATGAAAAAACTTACTGTGTAATACTGCTGTGTACCTACTGAATAAATATTACAGGAGTTAAAGGATTGTTTCAATTGCTAGCTCGGCTTTGGCAAACATGAATTGGGATAACACACACTGTATAATTCACACATTTGAGTAGGGGATGCTGCAATGTTTAACAGATACAAAATAAAATACATCTTAAATTTCTAGAACTGTCAGCACATAGGATTCCTAAGTTGTTCTGAATACAGGAGCAGGGTAATCAATTTTCAAGGAAGGCCACATAGTCAGTTAATCTGGCCAACTGCTGTTCATTTGGAATTGGTGGAACCGGAGCAGGTTCTACAAAGAGAAAACAAATGCATCATTAATGAAATTAAGAAAGCAAATCCATCTGCAATACCATCCATCACAACAGTAAGAAAAACATCAAATGCATCACTGTTAAACAGTCTTATGGGGGCATATCTTAACTGTATCTCCTACCTATGCAGCTTTAGCTGACACAACTTTTCTGTTACTTGCAACATTAAGTAGTCCAAGAGTTACTAACAGCAAAAATAGCTGTAACAAGTTCCAGTTGTCAGCCATTCCCAAATTTTTTTTCCCCATGTACTGGAGTCTGAATGGTGAAGATTGACAGTACTTTCACTTAAAAAAAGCTCCTGGAGCTCTGCAGCTGCTCCTTTGCTTACATGTTGCCATACTGAAGATACCACATAAATCTACTTAGTTATCTGACTAAACAAGCAAAGTACTGCATGGGTTGCAGAAGAAGGCAAGTACATGTGCAGATCCTTATATAAATGCCAGCTAACCTGAGATTACAGTTTAACAATAGTTTGGAAGACAAGTGACTAAAGCCAGGGAGATAAATTAGGAATTAAACACCAGAAATAAAAAATAGCAGGAAAATTGGTATTTACTCTCCCTGAAGAGTTAACAGACTAGCATTCAAGATATAGTTAGAATACACATACTGCTTAGGGCTGCAAGTGTGTGACAGAGGAGGCTGACAAACAAAAAATATTTTCAAAAAGCAAGACCCCAGCTCTTGAAATTGGCTTGGAAATAAACCTGTAAATTGAAGATACTTTTGGCAGCAGTGTTAGACACATCAGGCCACCAATTCAGATCTGCTGTCACTGTCTTGTGAACAATAGACACAACAGTTTTGAGAATCAGCATGACATAACATATTACACCTCAATCTATAGTTGAGCTCTGAGGAAAACCAGAAGATTGTTTTCTTCTACAGGGAAGACTTGAGAAGTCCCATAACACACAATAGCAACAAAGCCTACTCAGAGTTGCTTTGTGAAGGAATTGTCTCTAAGTCAGAAGTTTTCACCAAAATACTTTGTTTTACAGGGTCTACCTACACCTGCTTTGAAATCTGCTCCCTTCTTCAGCTATCGAAGTAGGAATCTCAGGCACTCCTTAAGGCCTGAGGGGAAGAGAAGACAGGAGGAAACATGTTTACATAGCACCTGATCAAGATTTGTTTGGGGTTTTTTTGAGGGGGGAATGACAACATTCATTTATCTAGAACCCAATTCCTATTTTGAAGTGCTGGTGAAATTGTGTCCATATTAAACATAGAAGTAGATTACGTATAAACAGAGAGTACCTGATGAAGGAATAAATCTGTTAAAGGAAGCTTCCAGCACACCTGAAGAAAAAGACAATAGACATTAGCCCAGTGGACCAATTCTAAACAGGTCTATACATCAAGCCAAAACTGGATAAAAAGGTAGTTAAAGTTAAGCCTATTAATTTACTTGTTTTACTTAATAGCTGAAAAGCAGAATATCCAAGGCTTAGCTGGTTAGACATGCAGCTTCAAAATAGATGACAACCTCCTGCCTCTTTCTTCTTCCTCTAAAATAGTTCTCACTCACTTTTGGAAGAGAACCATATGTAAGTAACTCAGTACTTGTAAGCACTGCATAATTTGCAACCAGTTTATGAAAAAACTGATCACATGCAAAAGGGTCAGGGTTCTGGTTGGTTATGCACCCTGAAGGATAAATTTCAACACCTTACCTGGCACATGTTTATAGTGTTCTGGGCTCTGAACACCTAAAAATACTGCCCATACAAACAATGTTTTTTTCTTAGTCTAATAGATGTTGCTCTTTTAGATATGCTGATTTGGCTCCTTCCAGAGCTGCACTGTGCTGCTTAAGAGCAGTCATTTCATCTCTGCCTTCTAAGCTTAATTTATTTTTGCCTCAGCCATCCACAGATACTGCTTTAGCAAAAAAACCCCAAGTATTTTTGCAGGCTGAGCTTTGCAGGAACAGATACTGTTATCAACGTCATGACAGTTAAGAAAACATCCAGTAGAGTTAAGTTTTAAAAAGCAAAGGAAGTTATACCAAATTGAGGTCCTCAGAACACAAAGATCCACTAAATCCCTGCCCAAAGAGGTCCTAGAAGTTTTCAGAACTTTTTCAGAAGTTTCGCCTGAAAAAATCTGATTCAAAATGGTATATTTTTTTACCCATCTTTATTAGATTAAGATATGTCATTCCAGGTCATCCAACTTACGTTCCACTGAGTCAGAGCCAGCAGCAGAGGAGGAGGAGAAATCATAGCATATCCTGTCTGCTTTTGTTTGAAAAAGTTAATTTGAGGATGTAGTTTAATCCAAACTACTTGTAACCCCAAACCAAACCCACTACTTTGTACTTCCTACATTTTACAAACATTCCATGTTTTACAGCAGCATAAGCCCCCATAAAAATATCTAAAAAAATACTGCGCAAAGTTTTAATTAAATAGCTAACACCTCATTGCTAGAAAATACTAAACTCTATGTATAATGAAATAACAGCTCCACCTACCTGGCTTTTTAGGCATTACCATACGAGTTGAAAAATCTGCTTGCCAGCCCTGTTCTAATACACCTGAAAAGGCATTTTTACATTTGTAAGAAAAAATATCCTACATAATTGCTATAAATGCAAAATAAAGATGCACATTAAGACAGTAGAAAAGCACCTCCATACACCAACTATATACCAGAACCCTAAGACTTATTTCTTGTAATCATTTAGACATTTAGTTTGACAAATAAGCTCATGGAAGTAGTAACAGCAAACAAAACCAGGTTAACCCACTACCTTCAGTCTTCCCTCATTGCTGAATTGCTTTAGCACTTCCACATATAGAAGGGGAGGATGACCAGTGGTAACTAGTGGCAATTAATAAAAATCAAACACTTATCCAGAACCAAGACATTCTTCTCTATTTACTGCCCCATCTCTTCTCTTTATAAGAGTCTCAGAATTTGTGTAAGTGTTTATTTACCACCACTTCCAGCTCTCTGATCTCAATCACCTGTAGAAAAACTATTCAGTGAATAAACACAAAGTACCTTTCACAGCTTCTTCTACAGGAAGCCCAACAAAGGCTGCAAAATCATCGGCAACTATTGAGGTATATGCCTGAGAAACCAGTCCAAAGGCTCGTCTCCTAGTTGCATCTAAGAAGAGATAAACACTGTAAGCAGACAGTAGACTAATCCCCGTAACTAGGAAACCTGAGGAAATTTTTCCAATTTTAACACATCCAGAAAACCACTACCGCTCCTAAACCTAGCACTTCAGAAGTTCCACCTCCCCTGCCACAATTCACTGAAGTACCACAGTCAGCAGCCAGAGCTTGCTCTGTGCCAGGACAAAACCCCTCAGAGACCACGTTTAACTTCCAAATGCAGTTTTCAGCATCTTGGGTACTACCACCAGTATGTAAACTAATTCAGGAAACTGCTTCCAATGGCACTCTCCATTTGCAAGAAGCTTGTTTGTCAAATAGTTCAGAATCAGAAAGAGAAGTCATGAGAAAAGCACTTAGTCAAACTATTCATCGTGCCTTTTAACCTACATCTGCTTTGATACCAATACATCTGTAAATCAGTAACTTCTAAAGCTACAGAGAATTTATTGCAAAATACCTTGGAAGGCTTTTTAACAGTCTGTACTGCCCTCTAGTAGTAGGACTATGTTACTGTTGCAGTCTGTAACTAAAACATTTGTCCGAAGCCACATTTAGAAGAAAAAACCTTTTCATAAGGTTCTGAAAAGCCAAGCCAAGTTCTCTAGATTACTGGTTAAAGGTCTGAAAACTGGGTAACTAATGTTCTATTTGCTACTAGAGAACAAAACATATGGTTTATGAAATTCCAATATGAAATATACAATCTCACACAATCCTAATTAAAAACACTTCAGTTTGTTTCTATAAGTTTTTGTAATGAGCTTTTTATTTATACCGATACCTAAAATGCTTTGAATCCTACAAAGACTTGGCAACAATCTTCCTGACCACTTCTGATTTTCCACAATATGTAGCCATTTGTATATTTACCTATTTGTGTTTGAGCACACAGAAATCATTTAAGACAACATATAATTCCATGCTATCTAGGTTCAGTTTGTACCTCTAAGTGCTTCCATGATTGGTTGAATAGTCTCAGACCACTGATGTGCACTGATTGTTGTATAGATTCCTGGAAAGTCTCTCTGCCAGATTCTTTGTCCTACTGACCAAACTGCACCAAGTTCAGCATTTGCCTGTTGTGACAAAAAAACCTGTTAATTCAGAATGGTGTATTTTCTACAGTGACTATCCTGTATAAACCCATTTCCATTCCCTTCTTTTCCCATTACAAATGTATATCACAATACCTGTAAAGATGAACAGACAAGCATTGGGAAATCTTGTTCTAGCAGGTATCACTGCTGCAAGCACCCTGATCCATCCTCTGCCAAAACTTTATCACCCACATACGCAAAGTCTGCTCACATGTCAGTTATACTGATACCGGCTAAAACCACCATGAAGGACAGTCTGAACACAGGCTACTGACTGGCATTGCAAAAAGACAGGCACAGCTTATTTCTTGCTTATAGAGATGTTTGTCTCTTCAGGACAGGCTTTATGAAGTGCAGAGGCTGTTTGCACAGTGAAGGCAATTTTCAACTTGAAATTCCGTCTTGCCACCTTGTCAAAAGGTCACACTTAATGTGGTGCCATAGTCACTGCAGCTGCCCTCCCACTACTGATTTTAAGGGCTACTTCTGCTGTGTTACACCATCATTTGGTGTGTCAGAATAGCAACCAAACACCAAACTGGAAAATAGAGTAATATTTTCAATTCTAAGGGGAACTAATTTGTTTCTGAAGTTAAGATTCATACTACTTATTAGTAGAAGAGTCATCAATACATACACACAAGAAAATACTATGCTTTGAGTTATAACCCTCCCAAAGTAACTCAAACAATGAGTTTCCCCCACCAAGAACGATGCTTCACATGAAATGCAAATTACACCAAAAAAGCCAGATTATTCACAGAATATTGCAACACAACAAATACAGCAGGTTTCAGAGGAAGGCCAAATAAAACTTGGTCCAGATAATTGACACACTATTGACTCAATTGATACAACTACTTTTTTCTTGAAAGAGAACGAAAATTATTTCAGAACCACCTGACAGGTCCCATCTTGACCATGAGGGTTTTTTTTTTAATACAAGACTACAGAACACTTGTTGCCTTGTAAAATGATCTCAAACTACAAACCTAACAGTAAAGTCTGGAAGCACTTCTGGTATTGCATTTTGTTAAATCTTCAAAATGCATCTTTGACTCACATGCAGTGCAAAACCTTCAGAAAGTTAATCAATTTGAAGATGCAACTTATCTGAAGCCACTTTTCACTACACAAGGCACTCTGCACCCTCAGGTGGAATGCAGCCCCATCCCAGAGTCAGATCCACTGCTTTCCTCCAGCTGACTACCCTTTGTCAGGAGGCTTTCTACTAAGAAGTCTACTGCTTTCCTGAATTCTATGGCACTAAATTTTTTATTAAGGAAAAGAGTTAGCAGATGAGCAACTAGATGTTAAAGACCAACATGCCATGTGTTGGGCAAGGAGTTCACAGCATAGAACTGAGGCCCAAGGCTACCAAGGCAACTCACCAAACAGAATCCTCAGGAAAAAGTTATTTGCAAGCTTATATCTAACTGGTTTAGTATCAAATGGCATTTTACAAAGTACTTACAGATTTGATAGCAGGAGGGATTCTTTTCCAAAGATATCGTGCATTATTCCTAAAAAAAAGTTAAAAATATTTCTTGGTAGCCAAATGTTTGCTACAAGGAAACACCAAAAGGTTTGTTCAGACACTATAATTAGCACAGTCTCAGTTCTTTTAAAACATTCCTTCTATGCCTATTGAAGTAGAAAAACAAAGTTACTCTCAAGTAAATAACATGACTGTCATAATACAACAAATAGTTCATTAACTGCCTCATTTAACACCAGTTTAGAAAAGGTTTTTCATTTATCTACCCTAGGCAGGCATTTCACAGAAGTTAGTTTTGCAGTTTTATTTTTGGAATAGCTGCATCTTTGATGAACACATATACAAATAGTAAATTTTCATAGTGTCAGTAGTCATTTAGACAAGTGGTCTCCAAACTTCTAGCACAAATACACTTTTGAGCATTGTATTGGGTCAATCTGCATAGTGCTGTGCTTTCTACTGGTATGTAGAAAGGGGTTGATAACACCAATATTTTGGCTACTGCTGAGCAGTGCTCAACAGGATCAAGGCTGTGTCTCCAACATTCCCCCTGGCTGCAGCAGGCTGGAAGGGGGCAAGATCTTGGGAGGGGACATAGCCAAGACACCTGACCCAAACCAACCAAAGGGATATTCCATAAAAGCTAAGCAAAAAGGAAGAGGAGGGGGGGCATTTGTCTTATGACTTGTCTTCCGGAGCAATAACTACATGTACTGAAGCCCTACTTCCCAGGAAGTGGCCAGACATCGCCAGCTAATGGGAAGTAGAGAATAAAATCTTGTTTTCCTTTTGCTACTGCACACAGCCTTAGCTTTTGCCTTTTTTATTAATCTGCCTTTATCTTGATCCACAAGTTTTCTTTCTTTTCCATCTCATTCTTTCTCCACCTGTCCTGCTAAAGAGAGGAGCAATAGAGCAGCTTGGTGGCACCTGGCATCCAGCCAAGGTCAACCCATCACAAGCATGAACCACCAGTATATGCCTACGCATTTATAAATTAAATACATGTACTACTGTATTAATATATTATGTGCATTATAAAGCATAAAAATATAGAAGTTTAAAAGGATTAAATAAATATCTTTCAATGGTGTTTATTTTACTTATTAATAGTACAAAACCACTTATTTCATGTGCCCACACCCCACCAAAGATTTAGACTGTTTTGTGCATGTTCTTCCCAATCCAGCTTGTCACGTACATTCTGGAGATTTGGACATATTGAAATATTTAGTCATTGACCTTTAGAGCACAGAAGTCAAACTGAAATGGTTAAAAGTTCTCAGAAAGATTTAAGAGGCAAAACAGAAAAAGACCCACTGCTTTTCATTAAAGCACAATTCTAAAACTCCACAATTCTGAGCCTGCAAATTCATTTGAACAAAGGTTATCTAATATTAAACCTAATACTTGGTATCAGCAGGCAGGAAACTTACACTGAAAGAATATACATTGACAATGCAAGAAAATACTTAAATATTTGAATCCCCACACCAATGCTTACTTTGGCTTGATAATCAAATGTACCAGTGTAATTTATTCTGAATAAATAATCAGCAATTTCTCAATAAAACCCTAAACATAGCAAAACAAGTTCACACAGGGACATGGTAATAATCCACCAGATTGAATTCAAAGGATTACTGCTTCATGCAGATTTAGCTCATTCAAGGCAACAGCAACCCTCATTTCTAACATGGACAGTTTAGTGTTATCCTGCTGTAACTAGACACAAGGAGGAACATGCAGTCTTACTCAAAACAAATGCAGCCTTGAAAAGCTACATATCAAAACACTGAGGCATACAACACTTCCCAAAGGAGCCAATTTCACTATTTAAGGAACTTTCTTCCTAAAGCCAATCTGTTTCCCCACAGTTCAAAAGAGCAGGCAAGAGCTAAGGAGAATAATTTTCCTGACAGAGCAAGGGGTGAAAGCCTTAATTCTGTGAAATTTTTAATAAAAAAACCAAGCACTGCCTACATGGCTTTTGTTAGTCACACAAGCAATTACTAATATTCCAGCAACTACAGCTCAAGCTAATAGCAACAAATTCAGTATCTGAAGTTAAAGATTTATACAAACCACTTACATGTCATTATGCAACAGGTATAAAGCTAGAAGTTGGCCATAAACAAGGGGTGTTGCAATTCCTCCAGGGGCCTAAAAAAACAAGTACAAATAATTTGGTTACATATTTTAAGAACAAGATACCTTATATCAGGCAGCCAAGTTTAATGAAATCTGAACCTTCCAAGTCAGTTACTGTTTTTCACACCATGTAATAGGTCTGGACAAATTGGCAGAGTTGCAACATTACAATAATACCATTGTATCTTAGATGAAGAGCTAACTTGCACATGCCAGAAGTTTTACTTGGAAAACTTGGTTTGTTTTGCTGCATGAATAAAGCAAGGTTACATCTTTCTAACATTCTAGCTTATGCTCATGAAACTGGTAACGATCTCACTTTACAGTTCCACACAAACAGCTGGTTTTAGGCACTCACGATTTCATCTATCTTGAGCTGAACTTTGGCTCCATTCAGGGCACTCTAGAGTAAAGTTTCTTCGCTCACTTGATCTGCCCTTCTTAAAAATCCAAACTAAGCTTTGATACTCAACACACTTCAGCAGACCTCACAAATCATACAAGTAGAAAAAAATGAATTATAATAAAGTTATAAAATTTTGAAAGTCTATAATCATTTAAAAGCTGAAAAGATTTCCAATAAGGTATTAGCAATTTATCAAAGTGTAGTGCAGCAAGCACTCACAGGAAACCAATTATGCAGCTATTTGATTTAATTACATGCATGATTTATAGGCTCATCTAAGCCAAAAGCAGGTGATTAGCTGTGTCGCAGAGCAGATACCATCATCCCCAGCCATTCTTAGAGTGTTTCCAGGGTTCATCACCCACACAGAAATACAACAATTTCTGCAACTCTTCCTTGGATTATGACCAGCAAAACAAAGCCAGGTCAATTAATACCACCTGTTTGAACTGTACAAGTTCACCTTTGGTATTTCTCTGTACTAAAAAGAAAAGTCATTAGTTTCTCTGCCAGGAGACCAGTGGAACAGAAGGGAAAACTAACTACCACCAAAACAACTAGATATACAATCTGCAGTCTTACTGAAGGAAGCTCTGTGGCTGCACCTAGCCTGCAAAAAAAAAAAATCAGCCTCCATATCAACACTATCAACAAAGGCTGTCAGCAGATATTAGTGTGCCCCCAAGAATCTTGATGCACACATGCAGACACACACAGCAAATAACTTACTGGCTTTGTCAAAGCATTTGGGAACAGTTTGCTGGGGTGCATCTGTCTGCCATTTATTCTAGGAGCATCTGCTGACAGACACAGCAGAAACCTTGAGCAGAGGGCAGTCTAAGTTCAGTGGCTTTGTAACAGCTCCCAGGGACCCACTGAGGTCCAACACCACAAACTCTGCAGCAGGGAAGGAAGGAGGGTGTGTTGAACTTCCTCAGATGGCTGCAGAAGCAAAACCCAAAGCCTGCTGTGCTCCATCCCAGTCACAACCCTCCCACAACTCTGCAGAGGCCAAGAAGGCAGCCAAAGACATTGCAAGTCAGGTTCAAACAGATTGCCCAAACTAAGCATCAACCACTGTTTTGAAGCTTGTTAAGTCTGAATGGGAATAAAAAGGTAACTTCATTTACAGAAAGACATTCCCTAATGGGAAGCCATTCAGTGAGTGTTACCACATGCTGTGGCCTCATAACCCCTAACTATAGCCCTCTACCCACACTTCCCCAATACACACCTTAGCAGGAAGTGCTGCACACATGCTCCTCTAAAGGATGGGAACACACTTTCAAAGCAAGTCCTAAACAGCTCCCAGCAGGAAAGGCTAACCAGACTCAACTCTCCCACATGGGACAAGGGCACTGTTCTGCTTCTATACGCTCACATGCCCATCAATTGAGGCAGCAGGTAGCTCATATTTTCAGCACAACAGTCCTCCTCCTACTCTGTAATACTCTTCTACAGAACTCAGGGCATACCAAGAAGCTGCAGCACCATGCTGAGAACATGAGAAGCATCTGGGCTCAGTACAGAAACAGTGCACAGAAGCATCAGCTGAAGCCTGATGATGCACACCTGGAAATAGGGACTCCTTCCATTTATGGATTATATTTTCCACTGCAAAGCTGTTTTATCAACACTGAAGTTCTGTATGGCAAGTGATCACACACTGGAACAGCTCTTTCTCTTCAATTGCTGTGGTAACAAGATCTGAAAACTCAGAAGTCACTAAAGAGTACATGAAATTCAAAGTTTTCCCTTCTTTCAAATGGCTACAGCAGGATGCATAAGCTTCATGAGCTTCACATTTAGAAAAGCACTGCAAACTCTGCAAGATGAGAAAGGGTCTATGAATATCACCCAAAAAGAGCTTTTACTTCACAGGCTGGAGTCTGGAACACTAACAGTGCATACTGACTTAAAAACTCACCAAGCAATAGGGAATTTAAAACGACACAGAGGAGGCTCCCAGTGTGAGCTCCCGTGAGAAGTGCAGCATCGATTCAAGAGTAATTCAGTGCCCCACCCCTTTCCCATACCTTCTTTTTCTCAATCCCGTGAGACACGGGGAGACATATGAACTCCCCTCTCTCTTTCACGCACCCTAAAAAGACCCCAACGTTTATACTAAAATGCACTCGTTTATTTGTCTGCAGCTTCACAAGTTTCTGAAAAGCTTTTTGGCGGGCTTCTGCACAAGCGGCAGCTTAAACGCTGAGCCCTCCCCACCCCCACGGAACACACACGGAGGCAGACCACGAACATGCCCCCCCCTCGCGGGACCAGCTCGGACTCTCAAACCAGCGCTTTCAGGGAAGCGCCTGCTGACCCGCACCGCACCCCGCGGCGGCTGGAAACGCCTCTGCCCCAACCCACCAGCGCTGCGGAGCGGCACCG